AAGATATTTCTTTATTAACAAGTTTTGTAAAAAAATCTTTTATTGACATTTCACTAGGAATAGGATAGATGTACCATCCATGAAGTATTCTTGATCCTTTGGAATACGAATATTTGCAAATGGCATTGTTAATAAAGTAAAAGATTTATTAAAGATTTAGAGAAAGTGTTACTTAACGCATTCTTATTTTTATGCATACTAAATTGAATTTGTTCTATTAGGAACGCAGTCAAAAATGGAAATATGAACGATCGTTTAATTTCTAATATAGTATTATGTACAAGATATATGGTTGCTTTATAAATTCGATTCATGAGATTTTTTTTATATTTATATCGAAAAGCAATATATTGTTTACAAATGATTTTCACACCAAAAATTCTTAACTATAGCAAGCTGTTATGACAGAAAAATCAAAACAATACATCATATCATCTGTGTAATATATAATACAATTGTTTGTTAAAATGCATGGTACAAAATTTTTATATTGTTAGGTTACCGGGTTTGTAAAACACTCAATATGATGAGTATATAAAATCTTATTGGTTAAAAATTTTTTGAATTTAAAAATAAAAATCTGTGCGGCCGTTTCAAACAAAGCAAAATTTGATATGAAAACCAATTTTTTAAGTTTGTATCACCTTAGGTTAAGAATTTTATATGATAGTAATTATAATTGATTTGTGACTATATAAAGATAATTTATTATTGTTTAAATTTGCTTAGCAAAATCGGATGATTATAAAGAAGTATACTTATATAAAGTATAACTATATAAAGGTTTAACTGTACTATATTTTTAAATATAATATTAATAATATAATATAAAAAAATTTACTATTTACTTTAAATAAAAAAAATTATAAGTTTATTATTAAAAACAAATAAATCAAAAAACAAATCTATTATATCTTTATTTTATTTTAATTACATAATTATATATATCATTAATATATTAATAATAAAACATAAATTTAAACCATTTATCTATTAAAAAAAAAAAAAAAAAAAAAAAAGAGTATCCATAATAAATTATGGTACCTAACTTTTTAAAATTTTGTGCTAAATACAAAAATTATCAATTAAAAAATAAAATATATTAAAAATAAACATATACCTACTGCAAAATAGATATAATTTCAATATTATGCTGATCTCAAATTACTTAATGTTTCAGCTAAATGTTTTGATAAACCAACACAATTAGCTAACATCTCTGTAAGTTCTTGTTCATAGGCAACAAAATAATGTAAATTTTTCCTTGAAGTAGACAAATTTCTAAGTATCAAGGATGCTGTTAATGGAATCCCAAGAGCATCACCATACGTGTCGGATGATACATAAGTTCTATGATTGATGACGCCATTATTTTTACCATATTTATACATTGTTTTAGCTGTCATTGCTTTGCGATTTCGCCCTTCTGAATCAATATCTGGCTCAACAGGGAAATGAGTTTTGACGTGAGAAATAACTGCGATCCTATTTGTTGAACCGCTAGAAAAACGCTTACAATCCATCCAATGACACTCTTGTTCTGTATTTACGTGATCATTAAATACATGCTTATACAATTCAGTATCCTTTGTAAACGTAACATCATTACAATTGGTCCATCGGCATCGATACAAAGGAACTAATTAAATGAAATAAAATCAAGAATTATTAATATATCTTTTGTTAGCTGTATCTAAGAAAAATAAAACTACCAGCTCTTGATAATTCCTCCGGAAATTTTCTGCGTTTAATTCCTTTAACCATATATGTATTTTGCAGTCAAGAAAAATATATTATCCTTATAATTAAAAGATTAATAAAAAAAAAAAGGATATCTTGATGCACCATCTTCTGCTGTTGTCATGATTGCAGAAGAATCTGGAAAAGCCATATTAACGTTCTTAATAACATCTGCAGCTGGCAACATTGGCGTGGGTGAATTCATGAATTGATCACGATAAGCATACCAAATTTCTGTTTGTAAAACCCCATCATCGGAAGCATCTTCATAATATCTTTTTAACCTAATAAAATATTTATTAATATAGAATTTATCTAGTGGTTTTCTTTATTAGCTTACCATCCAATCGTACGATATGGTTCGGGAAAATTTTCAAATTCCCCACGGATTTGAAATGGACGTTTTTCAGGCATTCTTTGATTTTGCAGGTAATCCTCATCACTTGCTCCATGTTTTAAGAAACTTATTAAAAGTCGTACGAAATTACAAGGTACAATTTGGGCTAATTTATAAGCTGATTCCTCGCAAGTAGTATATTGATAAAACCAATCCAGCACGGCAACAATCATTTCTTCATCATCATCAATAAACAGAAATTGAACTAGACGTTCCACCATATCAGGATCGATTTCTTGCATAAATTCTACATTGTTTTCATTGGAAGCTAAACGTGTTAATGCTCGAATACTACGAATGATTAAAGCAGAATCACTGGAACAAATCATCTTTGGTAAGGTTAACAGAAGTTCTTCTCTTCCACTTTTCAATACTATGAATTTACACATATTTTCTACAGTTTCCAGACAATGATACCTCAACTCAGAAAATCGAGTAATTTCAGGTAAATTAAGTCCTTCGATAAGGAATCTTCGCAATGGTTTATAAGTGGCCATTATTTCAGAATTAAATTCCAGGAATGAAAAGTTTCGGAATATTAGAAATATTTGCATTACTCGTTTCAATTGTTCAGTACTTGCTAGTGAACTAAAATATTCTTTAATAGTAGATTCAAGATAATCTCCATCTTTCCCAATTTCTTTAACACTGGCTAATTCTGTAAGTTTCCGCATGTCCTTATAGAAAGGTGCCACGAATGTAAGAATGACATCTATTAGTCCAGGGATTTTATCTATATAAAAAATGATATTTTCATCCTCTGAAAGTTGTATCAACACTTCAAATGCCCAATCAATTTCATTTGGTAGTTGAGATTTCAAAGCAAGAAGGACACGATTATTATTTCCTCCGCCAAAAAGAGAATCTGATAAATAAAAAATTATTAATGAATCATGGTAATGAAATTAATAAAAGAATAAAAAAAACAATATACCGTGCTCTTCTTCTATTTCGTCATCAATATAGTGTTCCATTAAAACACTAGGTTGATCATAATTAGCATAATGTTGAATTGGCGTTATCGGATCTAATTAGTTTAATAATTGGATTTAAGTTAAAAGCAAATTATTCAAATAATTTATAAAATATAATAAATATACCGTGATTACTTGGCATAATACGCAATGATTGTAAACTTTTCATATTGTCTAGAGAATGAACTTTTTTTGGTGGTGTGATATTTCCTTGAGGAGTAGACGAAAATTGATCCTGTGGTTGTGGAGTTGGCGGTCCTGGTCGATTAGGTAGACCTCCGTAAGGAACAGGTTTACCCCAATGATTCTCCAATTCATACGCTTCCAAAAATCTAATATAAACATTCTTCATCACGTAAGCACTGTTCGTGCAAGTATGAGGAAAATTGAACGGCTCGCAAATTTTTTTCCATGCCTTCTCGGAACAAATTTTCTCGCAACCGCCGTTTGCAATTACCATTCGATATATTTTATAGAGATCTAATTTTTTGGAACCCAAAACAGGCTCCTTTTGTAAGGTAGTACTGATAAGAAAATTGTTTAATCAAAAATATCAAGGAAAAGTATGAGCTAGTTGAACTTGAGATATTAAAGGAAATCGATAGCAAATTGGAAACTTGTTGCCAGAAGAAAAATAACTTATAGTTTCAATTTTACCCATGAGATTTATGAAACTCTTCTAAATTTTTCATGAAGGCATTATACTCGGGTGTTCGTTCAATGTGGTCCTCGATCGGTTTAATGCCACGTGGTGCAATGTCTCTTTGACTAAATTGATATGCTTCAATCGATCTATTTCCTCGAGAACGTTTCATTTTTATTTTATTTGAAATCATCAATCAAAAAATCGCGTGTAGATAAATATTTTTAGCCGAAAAAAAAACAGCCAATCAAATTATTTTTAAATTTTGATTTCGAGATAAGTACGATCGGCAAAAAGTTTGACCAATAATAAAAAAGTGCAATATTATTAAAGTATATATCACGTGATATGTTCAGTTGCCCAGATGTATCCCGGGGTTCCTTAACCTGAACCCTGGGTGTAGGCCTTTATCCTAGACCCCCCCTTTTCTCAAATATGATTGGTTTAATCAATCTTTATCAGCCACATATTTTTGTGTAACTTTATCTTGGAAATTTTTTTCATGCTTTTAAAAAAAACTATATTTAAATAATAAAAGATAAAAAAATAACAAGTATGTTTATGTATTTTAAATAGTAATAAATAGATAAAAACTTTTAAATATAAAACAATAATGAAATTATTTTAATTTTTAAAAATGATTGAAAGTTCAGTTTATTTATTTGAATTAATTTCAAAAGTCCAAAACCAATGTCAAAAACTAATAATTACATTTTATTAAAATTAAATATTATCACTAAATTTTTTATAAAAAAATTAATACATAAAAATTTCAATATCTACTAAACAACTTTACTTAAGTTTTTTCTTTAATTTCTTTGGCCAAACTGTTCAATTTACACCTTAACACAAGAATAAAATACGTCTTAATATTATTAATAAACACTAATAACTTCAAGCTAAACCCATAAAAATTAATATGCAAATATTTTCATATCTTATGAACAACTCTCCTTCAGTATTTCATCTGTTTAATTTAACCAAAATATTGAAATTATGTTGTAAAATAAATTTTTATATAGTACAAAAAAACATGTTGTTATGTTCACAATTTTATGATAATATTCTTCTACACTTGAAGTTATGAAATACTATTGAAAAATATTTTAGCTTTATTAATGAACAAAACCTTAAAAAAAACATGAAAAAGATGTGAAAAAGAGATTTATTATCATATATAATGGTAAACAAATACAATCACCACTGGATATAATAAAACTGATTATACTAAAAACTTGTTATACTAAACCAAGTTAAACAGAACTGATTATTTTATATTAAATTACACTGGATATAACGAAATTATATAATAAAATGCTACATACTGCAACTGAACCTATAAGAGCTAGCCTAAGTATAATAGTCCTATATTAGATATACTGAACGATCACGTAAATCTTGTGATCTAAACTTTAAATTAGATGATCATCAGGATTCAGAAAACTCCAATAAAATAATATCAACCAAAAGAAAGAGGATTAATATTATTGCTACACAAAAACGTGAACTTTGTGAGAAAAAAGAAAAAGATCTGAACATTTCTAATACTAAGCTTTTACAACAATATGATATTAGAAAATCAACGGTTACAGATATATTAAATAAAAAAGAGCGTTAGCTTGTAGTTTCAGAAGGACAAGAAAGTGTTAAGAAGTTTTGTGATCTAAAGTGGCCTTAACTTGAAGACACATTTGGTTTTTAGGTTGATAATACACTCAATACAAAATAAGATATCGATAATAATATATTGAAAATGAAGGCAAATTATTTTGCTAAATAATTATCTATAGAAGACTTTAATTCTTTAGAAAGATGGTTAGGTGGCTTTAAAAAATAATATGACTTACATCAGTATAAAAAGCAAAGTGAGGCTGAAAGTATATCATTGGCTGAGTCTATAGAAAAAGGTCATTTTATTCTACAACAGCTTCTTATATCTTACAATTCTGAAGATATCTAGAATAGAGATGAGACTGAACTTTTTTGAAAAATAGAACCTTCTAGGGTTCTAGCGCGTAAACCTATTTTAGAATACAAAAAAGAAAAAATTATAATTATAATATTTTGTGCAGTTAATACATCTAGAACTAAAAAGATAAACCTTATATTTATCCATAAATATAAAACCCCTCATGTAATAAAAAATATTAATATTAGAAATCTTCTAGTATACTATTTTTGAAATAAAAAGTCATAGATGCAAGTTAGCATCTTCAATGATATTCTTCTTAAGCTTAATAAAATAATAAAAAAAAATAAAAAAAATTATTTTTTTATTTGATAATACTCCTGTGCATCTTATTTTAGATGAAACTCAAAAGAAATTAGATAGTATAATTGTAAAATTTCTTTTACTAAATATCACAACTAAGCTTTAGCCATGTAATATAAGAATTATCTATTCATTCAAATATTATTATAAACGTCTTTTTATTTAAAATCAGATTTATGCATATGATAATCTGTAAAATAGCATTATAGAAAAAATTTTTAGTTATACTATCTATGATGCTTTGTTTAATATAGTTGAAGTATGATTGATGGTCTTATCTTAAACAATTTTGAATTGTTAGAAAAAAATAGGTATTCTTTTACTAAATGATGAAAATTATGAGGATTTTGATTATAATAGATATGTTATTATATATAAATATGAATTTTACTTTAATACATAAAATTTCTTATATAATTATATTTTTTAGTTTTGATATTGAGGTTAATGAACTTAATATTTTAATTTTTCAACTTCCAAAAAGTGATTTAAATGCATATGAGTTTATTTATATTAAAGATAAGATTCCAGAAGGTGGACTTACTAATAATGAAATATTAGATTCTATATTAAATTCAGATAAAAATAATGATCATATTGAGTTAGACAAAATTGAATTTATACTTAAAGTTAGTCTAATAGAAGCAAAGAAAGCTATAAGCAAAACTATAAAATTTACATAAGCAGAATCCCGAATTTGGTAAAGTAAATAAAGAATTGAGGATTTTAAGAAAATTGCATAAACAGGTTAAATTATTTGTTATAAAAGGTTATAAACAAGTTGATCTTCATTACTTTAATAACGATATAATTAAATAAAGTTTTAATGATAATAAATAATAAAAATAATGTCATGTGTTTAAATTTTTATTAGATGAAAGTATATACTGAACAGTTCAGTATATAATAAATTTTTATATAATAAATTTGCTTTATAACGAATGAATTTTTCTGAAATAAAGATGTTCGTTATATTTAGTGATAATTGTAATCAATTAATGTAGTTAGGATCATGATGAACTAATCAAATTTGAAGGGTCCAGGTTAAAATCCTAGACCTTCTAATACAGGTTAAGATTTTCCAATATACTATAAAGTATGCTTTATAATACCCCTGTATATAATGACCTTCCAACTTTTTGAACAGCTTAGAATGTAAAATATCTAAATACTATACATTGCGAATATAATGACTACATATAAAGTATCCTGGATATTATACATTGCAATTTATTTTAAATAAAATTTTTTATTTTTGAACTTAATGCAAACAACCTGAAAAAAATTATCTTTTATTGCTAATTTGATAAAACTTATTTCAGTTTATAATTCAATATCTAAACTAATTAAATTCTAAATTAATTCCATAAATTTTTATAACTATTAATAAAATCATCATATACGCTATCTTCAAATATCTTATTATCATTAGGATTTTTATTTTTATCATTTAGCAAATCATAATCGAAAATAAAATCATCTTCAGTACTATCTTTGACTACAAAAATTCTGCAACATTTAAAGGATTTTTTAATTTTTTCAACATCAATGTTATTCCAAGCTACTTTAACCAATTGTGCAATTTTGTTATAAGCAGATCTTTAATTCTTCCAGCTGAAATAAATTCATAAACTTTCATTCATTAACTTTCATTCATTATACAATTTGTGAATCTAACAAAATAAAGAAGATCATTAAATAAATCAAAAAAAATCAAAAAAAAATAAATAAATAAATAAATAAATACCTTAGATTTAAAATTTTTATTAATTCTAATATCTAATAGTTGAAGTTTACTAGTTATTCCTTCAGGAATTATTGCAATATTAGTTTATTTTCATCAAGTCTATTTTTAACACTATTAATCAAATAATTACGAAAGAGTCAAATATTAAAAGACTTTTTAGATTATTATTTAGACCAGTTCTATTATACCACACATTTTCAATCTACTAAAGCATTTCTTTCTCATTAACCCAATCTTTTTCATTGATTCAAATTTTTACTCTATCAGAAAAAACTTCACGAAGTATATTCTTTAATTTAAAAACAATAACAGGTTCTAATTTAATTCCATTTGCCATATATAACAAAACTATTGTAAAACAATTTTTTCATGACCAGTTAATTTAATACTAACAGTTTTAAATCTCTTTAATTTTAATATTATTGAAAATGGTAAATCAAAACTAAAGGAAGTTTCATTAAAATTAGCAATTAAATTGAGCGGATAATCATATTTTATATGCTGTTAATATTACTCTTTCCATTAAATAAGTTAACTATTATTTGAAATCAGAGAGGCAATAGTTTTGATTTAAATCCAATCAACTTGACATACTATTTATTAGAAAGTTTATTTAGTTAACAAGAATAAAATTATAAGTTTTATATTTGTAAAATGTTAAGATTATTTATTATTATTATTAAATATATATTAAATACAATGTTAGAATCTGTCTTTTTTTCAAGGAATTTTCATGCTTTTTATATAGAAAAATTATAATTAAAGAAAATCTATAGTATTTATAATACTATTAACAATAATAACAGAGCTAACAGATATGCTAATTATATTAAATATGAAATAAATAATATATATGTTAAATATAATAATAATGATAATAATAATAGAAATGATATAAATTATAAATATATCCTATTTGGCAGATATATCATATTTGGTATATACAGTAGTAAGCAAAAGAAATGCAACTACTATTGGTTACCTTTAAAAGCTTATAACAGATTAATTATAAGGTTAAAATCATAATTTTATATTTATTTTAAAGCCTACTAATATTAATTAATCCACTCTTATTCGTTCTTTACTAAAGCATACCATTCTCTTGAAGTATGCTTATATTTTTTTGCTATTCCTTATCATTATAAATATACTC